AGATAGAGAATGTGGACACTGTGTATTCTAGATAGAGGGCACAGAGGACAGAGAAGAAGAAAGGAGGTATGGCAAGAGTCACAGGTCCTGTTTGGCTGCTGAAGAGCTACATGCAAAACACAGAGGGAAGTGAAACTAGGAGGTATCAGCTGAAGGCATGCTGTACAAGTCTCATGATGCCAGCATGAGATGTTTGTTCTTAATGTTTTAGGCAAGATAGGGTAAATGTTTCTGAACAAAGATTGACACCTGGATTTCACCACCCCAGTGATTATTTCTCTCTCCATCCCCTTTCTCTTCCCTAATGGAACTCTAATTTTGTCAAATTATCCATCCTGCAGGTTTCTGTATCTACATGTGATGTTTGGTTGGAGCTGCAGCAGCTCTATTGGAACAATGAGGAACTCATTGTTCTCTAGGGAGAACATGCTGAATATGGTGAAGCCAAAAGATGGCAGGAATATGAGTTATCAGATGATGTTGTTAAGCCACTGAACTAATTAATTTACAGTTATCCTTCTGCCAGGATTCTTGTTATATGAGTTCAATTGTCATTTAAATGGGTTGGGTCTTCTATCACTTACCCATGAAAGCAGCCAAAATTATGCATGGTTTCAAGGGAAGATAACAGTTTCTTACAGTCTCAGCTCTAAAACTCCAGAGGAGACATCTGGAGTTTTAGAGCTGAGACTGTAAGAAACTAAGACTAAAATGATTTAAATGGTCCCCCTGCCCTTAGTGGTCCCAAGGACTCATCACCTACTTGTTGTCTTAAGGAATCTCCCAGTTCTGCAGAAACAGAGTGTTCCAGGGGCCAGCTCAAGTTCACTACTCAATCACACAAGTCTACCTGGTGTCAGACTCTAAAAGGAGCAGATCCCAGGGAATGGAGAGAAAAATGAAAAGGAAATAAGATTGAACAGTTGCCTGCAGAGAACCCCAGCTGCGTGGGATTGATTTCCATGTAATCTCCATTTGTCTCCCTGGAATTTCCTCATCAGATCTCTGGCTCCGAGTCACAGGGAGGCTCTGTGCTGCTCACACCTGGAGTGTGATCAGAAAACATTGAGGGCCAAGGGGACCATGGTGTGTAATCTCCAGAGAAGCAAGAGAGAGACGTTTTTCCTCTCCTTGCCCAGAGGCAGTGCCTGGGCCATGGCCTCTGCAGCAATGAGGGAGAGTGGCCCTGCTGGCTGTTCTGGCGTGAGCTTCCTCTCAAGCTGGAGAGCTCCTGGGATCTGGGGACTGTGTGCCTGTCTTAGGTGCCTGTCATCCATCAAGTGTTCAGGCCCGGTGTCTTGGCCCTGGATGAGCAGGGCTCCTCCCCTGGCCCATCCCCCCTGAAAGCCACACGGGGAAGTTATTAGGGGGTCTGGACTTGGGGTCTCTGGTGGTGGGGATAAGGCTTTAAAAAAGTAGTGGAAGAGTAGAACAGAAGGGCAGGGTAGAGTGCGTCCTCCTGGCCACTCGAGGTGCCACTGCCCCTGTTTATTTAACGCCCCTTCCCTGGGGCTGAAGGTCCTCTGGTATCAAGGTTGGGGTGTGCACTGACCTGGTGCATCTTGCCCACTGGGAAGCACCCATGCGCTCCAAGGAACAAGGAGGACACGTAGGGCAGTGGTCCCCAAAGCCCATCCCCCAGCCCAGCAGCCCCAGCAGCCTGCTAGGGTGTAAACCCTCAGCCCACCTCAGGGCCGCTGAATCCCAACCCTGGGGCTGTGACAGAAATCTGTGCTTCTGCAAGGGCCACCTGAAGCCCAGACCAACAGCCACGTTGTATAGGGAGGAAGAAAGCTGCCCAGGGAGCTGGTGTGTACCCTTCTAGGATCAAATAGCTAGAAAGTGGCAGAGATTAAACCAGAAGCTGAGTCTGACTCCCAGCCTGGTATCCTTCCTGTTGCATCAGGAAAGGAAGCAAAGCGACTGGGAGCTATTTCAAAACACTTCTGAACCAGGTCTACATACATCTGTCTCAGCCTGGAGCCTCAAACATGGCCATTCCTGACACTGGACACGCAGACCCCTACAGCCTCTCCCTTCTGGATCATCTATACAGTCAGCCAGGGGGCCCGGGGGCAGAAGCCCAAGGAAAGGGGGGCCAGAGGGGTTCTAAGGAGGAATGCAGGGAGCAGGCTCTCTGTTCAAATCCCAGCTACAAGATGGGGCTGTGTGGCCGTGGACGAGCCTTCGCGTGGCATGCATACGGCAGGTTTTCTGGGACAGCGCCTGGTGGTGCGGCTCAAGTGAGGACAGCACATAGGTGCTCAGCAAGGTGCAGGGCACGTGGCTTCGTGCTTGGAGCAGGTCAGCTGCCATTGCTGCCCTCACGCCACCTTCTACCACCTCCCCATGCCCACCTGCTGGCCCAGGCCTGCCGACTCCAGCTCTGATGTCCTGCATCTGCCCGCTCATCTTGGTGTGTGCACGCTCATGCTACAGTCACTGTGGTGGCTCTGGTCCTCATCCCATCCCCTGTTCCTCCACACAAGTCTTCACACAGGTCCAGCCAGCACCCCTGCAGTGTGCCGCCAGGATGGCAGCCAGAGAGCTTTCTCAACTACTAAGCTGAGCAGCTCCATCTGTGGCACGGGTATGGGTTTCCAGAACCCCTGCAGTGGCTCCGTGTGGCCTTGGGGGGATTCCTGCTCCTGGCAGAGCCCATAGCCAGCCCACCTTCACCTTAGATCTGGGTGCTCTCCTCCCCGTGCTCTGTACCTAAACACTGTGAAGAACCCAAAGTACGGCCTCCCCACATGACTGTGCTCCAGCCCTCTGCCAGGAATGCTCCGGCCCTGTTGTCACACACCCTTGAAGGAGCGGTGCTGGCACCTCCTGCCCTCTCCGGGGCTTCACCTGCTCCTCACAGCACTCCTCCACCCGGCAGGGCGTCTGTGCTCCGCTTCTGCGCCCTCGCCTCTGCCGAATGATGGCTCTCTCCCGGGCATGCGAAGAGCGGTCTACACTTGCTGATCAAGTGGATCAACAATGTGGAACTCCCCAGCCCCAGCTCTGTCCTTTGGGCTCACAGAATAGACCTGCTCTGCTATTCCCTTCGGGAGCCTTTCAAGTGATGGAATCTCCTCTCACTTCCGAGGCAGATTGAGGTGATTCTCATACAAACAAGGGATAAAGCATGGATGGCTAACTGGTCCCCACCATCACCGGTGGTCATTCTGTTCCCAGTAGGCACAAAGCTCCTGCTGCCTTCTCATTCCCGTAGGCTGTGGGATGTGACAATGGAAAGGAAGGGCTTGCTCCTGGCTGGAGATGCAGGCTGAGACTCCACTTCCAGTCCTGGTGCTGCCCCCACGGCACTGAGTGACCCTTTCCTGCTTGGCCTCAGCCCTCACCTGGCACTTGCTAAGGGCCCTTTAGGGCTCCAGCACCTCAGCAATGCAGATGCTTGCCAGGCCCTGGTGGGGAACCGGGAACCAACTGAAGATAAGTCAAGAGGAAGAATGCCGAGCCTGCAGCCAGCTCCTCCTCGCAACTTCCTAAAATGGTGCGACAGAGTGCTCCTTTCCCAGAGGATCTTAGAGCACTGACTCGAGGCAGGCACCTTTTGAGGAATTTACTGTCCAGCTATTTTAACCCTCATGCTGCCCTGTAAGGTGGAATGGTCGCTGCCCTATTTTCCAGATGAGAAAACTGAGTGGTTAAACCACTTGCTCCAGGTCACACAGCTACTAAATGGCAAGGCCTACTGTCAAACCCAGGTGGTCTGACTCTGGGCCTCTCATTATCAACCACATACAGGACTGCCTCCTTCTAAACCCAGAAGGTGGGAGGGTGCTGAAACCTGCAGGATAACTAGAAGTCCTAGCAAACCGTCTGGGTGACAGTGCCTGGACGGAGACAGGAAGGTTGAGTGGACGCTGTCCTACTCATCTGTCCAGTGTGGGAACTGCAGGGTGTTCAGAAGGGAGTAGGGGGAGAAAGCAAAGGAATGGTCCATGTTCTCACAGGAGCATACAGTAATGTTGTCAATGACAGTGACAGTGTCCCAGGCACCCTGCCAAATGCCCTTATTTGTTATCTGATTTGCCACTCTAAGATGGGTGCTGATACTATCCTATTATTTTGCAGATAAGGAAAAGAGGCATAGAGAGGTGAAGTAACCAGTCCCAAAGTAACACAGTGTAAGGAGTATCAACCACAGGCATGCTCAGCAATGTCTGCATGTGACTGATAAGGACCATCATCTAGGGACGGAGAGAGTAACACCTGAGTGCAATAAAACAGCACCCAGGGACATGACCAGGGAACACCAACTTGGAACTGTATTTAAACCACTTGTCCTGCCACATGGGAGAGCTTCGTTCTGAGGACACCGGTGAGACTGGCCGCCTGGCTGTCCATTCCTGGATCGACTCCACCATTCCCTGAAGTCCAGATGGAAAGGGCCACCGGACAATAACGATGTTCACTCTTTGGCTAAGAGAAGTCGTGTGGCATTGGAGGTACTTTGGGACTCGGGGCTGCCCTGGGACTGTGTGATGTGCTTGCTGTGTTAAATTAGTGTGAATTGAGTCACCTGTTGGTACTGGATGATTGGTGTGATTGAATTCGCTTGCATGCTAACACAATCTGCGCCACTTGTGACACACAGCGAATACACAGAATAGGATGTGAACCAGATCTGCCTGTTGGGGGCCTGTGCTCTTAATAAAATGACTTACTAAATTCTTAAGAAAACAACACGAACTTTGAAGGATCAAGGCACAAGGCAAAATATGATAAACTACAAAGCTCTAAGAGACCTGGGGTGAAAACATGGAATGGACATCCTGAGCACTGTTAAGAGACTGCAGCTGCGCTGCTCCAAGAAGGCAGTAAGGATCAGGAAGGACTTTTTGATGCATGGGATGCAGGTGGGAGTGTGGTGGGGGCTGAAGCTGGAAGAGCCTGGGAGGGTGGCAGGGCTGAGCCAGGCTCCTATCACCACACAGGGTTCTGAGCACGTGGGGGCACTCCAACCCATGAGGAGAGTCACGGGGCTTTCATGGGAGGGACGGGAGGAGAGCAGGAATTTAGGGGCAGGTCTGGGCCCTGAGTCTTCCTACAGGATCAACCCCACAGAATAACCATGAAAGTCACCTAGGCAGATGCACCAACAAGTATTCACCCAAAACAGAAGCACAAGTGCCAGAAAAGCAAGCGCGACAGCTGCCAGGGGGTCAAAAGGCCTGGGATGCCCAAACCACAGTGGTCACCCCAGAAAAGCTGTTGAGACATGGCTCCCTGGGCCACCCCCAGGGAGGCGCTGCCCTAGCATGTTCTCAGGTGTACGTTGCATGTGGGACATTATCTTCCAGCAGATGGCTCTCCTGCAGGGGCCTCGATTCAGCATTGGAAAATGAGTGATTCACCTTCAAAAGACTCCTGGTGGAGTAGAATCAAGACTCTAGCAATTATTACTTGCTAATGGTGTGACTCTGCGCAAGTCCTTTAAAACTTCCTTGGGCTTCAACTTTCTAATCAGCAAAAGGAGGACCACTTGCAATGCCCACTTCACGGAGCTGGCCAAGTGAGATAATGATGGAAAATCCTCTGTGGCTCTCAAGGGCTGAGCATCGTGCGTTACCGTGGTGATGACGGTGATGAGGAGCAGAAGGTATTTCTGAGCTCCAGCATCCTTCTCTTAGTGCCACTTCCAAGTCCAGAAGAGACAAAGAAGAAAAAACGAGCTATTCAAAAAGCCTCATGCCAGCTCCAACTCCAAGGCCAAACACTGAGGAGATAACTGGAAAAATAGCTAATATGTGTGCAGGATACTTACCATGTCTTGCTTATAATAATGAAAAACTGGAAATATTCTAAATGGCCAACGCCACAGGAATGGCTAAAGGAATGAGGGTCCTTCTCCCATATGGAAATAGTACCTAGTGTTTTTAAATGGTGCACGACTCCATTTCTTAACATAAAATAATTCCCACTCACAATCTATTAAGTGGAAAAAGCTTGCTAACACAAACCTCCCAATAATCCTCTTAACACAGAAACTCTTACCAAAAAAATTCAAGCAGGCAGACACAATGCAACTGTGGTCACCTCTGAGGGTCATATGTGGGGGGCCACCTCTGAGCTATTTGCATGGCCTCTACTCGGCCGGCCTTGAAGCCAAGGAGGTTTTGGTCTGGCATTGCAAGTCATTTTGTGGCTTATTACGCAAAGCATGTGCCCTCGGTCTTTGCTCTGCTATAGCGGCTGCTCGGTAGCTCTGGAGTTGGGCGCTACCCACTGGGCTTGGACAGCCCACCTCCTGTATTATTTGGCAAAAGAACATTCCATGGATATCCTTTGAAGCCACAGTGGTCACTTTTGTATAAAAATAAAAATGCGGGCTCACTCTCTCATTCCAGTGTGGAAGCAGGACCCTTAAGGTCACAGAGCCATCCCACCTCGCTTTTCAAAATTATTTCTGTGTCATGTGATTTTTCGCCATATTTCGCAGCCAGTTCACTACATGTAGGGGAACACAGCATATCTTGCCTGTATGGGCGAGAGTCATAATCACTGGGGATTTTCTGTTTGGGCTTATCTGCATTTTGTAAACTTTCTACAATGAGATTATATTATGGCTTTGGAGTGGAAAAAGAAAAATCTCACTCTTTGCCTCCAACATCCCTCTCCCTTGGCTAGTTCTCTGCACATTCCAGGGACTCCGGGCTGCCAATCCAGTAGTTCTGCCTCCAGCTGGGGCCCTGTGCTCCAAGGAATTGCCAAACCCAACACTCTAAGCAGTGGGCTGGGGAGGGGCCTCCCCAGAGGGGGCTCATCTAACTGGCAAGAGGATGTTTCCAGTAAGAATCTCAGTCAAGAGAGGCAAGGAGGGCAGTCTGAAGTAGACCAGCCATCCATCAGGGCTCTGGGGCTCAGAATCTCAGCAAGGGTGTCCTCGAAACAACACCCCAGCCACTGACTGAGCACTGGGACCCCAGGCTGGGAGCTAGGCCCAGTGTCTTCCCAGCACTCCCTGACCTGGCTTCTGGAACTCTGCGGCAGACAGCACACTTGAGGCTCTGCTCTCCCATGCCCTGGCTGCATGGTCAGAAAATGCCCAGCCAGATGCCTCGACCCTGGGTCCCTCTGAGAACAGCACAGTGCTCAGCACTTCTCTATGGGCCCCCACACCTCGGTGCACTCAGGCTGGGCCTCCTTCTCATCCAAGGAACTGGCCTTGTGGACACTCAGGATCCTGAGTAAAGTCCGTATGGCTACCCCTGGGTGACTTCCCCTGCTTCCCAGCCTCCATTCCCCAACCATTTGGTGGGAATTCACAGTGGTGCACAGGTCTTTGTGTCTAAGGAGGCTCATGCCTTTAACCTGGGACCTAGAGACTATCAGGAAGGACCTATGTCCTTGAGCATCTGAACATCTCATTGTAGGTCTAAGACCAACAGACTGAGAAGTTCATAAAATTGTGTCAGGCTGACCCCTCACTGAGTGCTCTCAGCTGGGACTGGAACATCACTAACTTAAGAGGCAAATGCTCCCATTTCCTAGATCTACCACAAACAAAGTGCTTTATGTACTTCCTGTCTTCTAGGAGATAGGTCTGATGACTACATTTTATATGTGAAGACTTTGGGGCTAAGAGAGGGTCAGAGACCTGCCCAAGGTCACTGAGAACCAGGGATTGCTCTTGTAGCATTTATGACAGTTAGTCACAAGGGAGGGTTATTTTGGGGTCTGTCACTATCGGATTACATGCCTGTAAAGCTAAGGATGTGTCCCTCACTGATCTAGTCCTGTCGGTGATGTGTGGTAAGTATATACAGCTTGTATACACACATACACACACACACACACACACACGGGCCAGGGAAGCAATCATGGCAACTCAAAAGGAAGTCAGGAAGCCTCTGAATTCAGATAGGTCCGGCTTTGAATAGTCTCTCTGCCATGTCCTGAGTGTCTCTTCTTAAGCAATTCAGTCTTCTAAAGCTTCAGTTTCCTTAGCTGTTACTTAATTTCACTGAATAGGAAGGGTGTGAGGAAGAAAAGTGTCACAGATATTGACCTTTGAGCACAAAGCCTGGCATGTAGTAAGTGCTTATTAAAACACAGGCAGCTGTACTGCAAGGCCAGAAACAGAAGAGCCCAACTAAGGAAGTTAGGTGTTCCTTTCCGCCAACAGAATGGGAGCTCACTGAGGGCAGGAGTGGGATACTCACATCTATAAACTCAGGACTCGTCAATAAACAGTGCTCAACAAATGGGACATGATGGCAGAGACATTATTGTCCAGGGTGGTGACTCTGGGCCAAGCATGGAAGGACCGGCAGAGGGGACAGAGGGGAATGAGGCTTCTTCGGCTACGGCAGACAGCTCCTGTGCCACTGGGAGGAAGACAGCCCCTCCCCTGCTGCTGCACTGAGATCTCCTCAGAAAGCCTTCCTCCACGTGGGATCAGCGGAAGAGGGCACGAGCTGGTCCAGGGGAGAGCAGGCAGCGAGGCTTGAATGGTTGGCTAAATAGAGGCCTGGAGAGGGAGGCCTTGGAGCTGAGTGGTCAAGAGTTCAAACCCCAGCTCTGACGTCCACCAGCCTAGAGATTTGCCCTCGGGGAGCCTTCCCCACAAGATGGGGTGAATCAAACACAAGGTGCTGAGCGCGGGTGCCCGGCAAGAGAGCAGTAAATGCTGGTCATGTCGGGAGCATATGCTTTCTTCTGAAGGTAAAAACCAACCTCCTCAGAGCCAAGGAGGAATTCGGCTTAGTGCAACTAAAATAAAAACAGGAGAGTGGAAACCGATTCCTAGGATGACTATTTATGAGGCCAATTTCAGTTTCTGAGTGCTAATGAATCCCTCCGGCAGCCTCTGCGCAGCTCCGGGTCCAGAGAGCGGGCCGGCCCTCCCTGGAGTCCTGCGAAGCAGGAGAGCCCCCCAGACACTTGTGGGGCTCAATCAGCGTTGATCATCTCGGCAACAGTCCTAATAACGACGGGGCGAAGAGCAGGGGAGAGAGGAGATGCAGGTGGGCAGAGAACACTTCGGCTGCTTTGTTTCCTCAAGACAAACTTCTGCCTGGAATAGATTAATTCAATCTGCATATTAATGTGGATTACTAATTAATGACTGAAAACTCCTTTCAACATGAGAAGGACTATGCAAATGCTCAAAAAATAATAACCACCAGGAGTTTCAGGGAAGGAAATATGCCAGCCTCTTTTTTTCTTCTTCTTCTTCTTCTAACATTTAAAACTTTATGGAGGAAGGAAATGGGCGGCATTAGGGAGTTCACCTAAAGCACAAGCTCAGAACATGTGGCAGCCTGGTGTGGGGTGACTTCCTTTGCCCGGCTGTGACCACTTCTCACTGCTCTCTCCCCAGGCGGCCGTGACTTCGGGCACACACACCTGTGTGGCCTTCCAGATCCCAAGTGCCTAGAGGGATCCCCAGAGCTCTGGCACCCAGCACTGTGCTGGGCAGGCAGGGAGCAGCCAATGGTGCTTGGTGAAACCAACCCTTGCCAGAAGCAGAGGCCGAGGACAGCCGTCCTGAGACCCTTCCAAAGACTACAATGTGAAGAGGAAGTGTTGGCACCTCCACATCCACGGTGGAGAAATGTGAAGGCCTCTCAGCCCAGTGATCAAGGTCAAATCTGTAGAGAAAAGGCTCATTAATAGTAAGGACATGTATCCAGTGTGATGTAATGAACAGGTCCGTTACTTCTGTGGTCTTCCCTCCAAACCCTTAACTCCCATTTAAGTATCAGAAAAATATCAGAAAAATCCCAACAGATTCTGAAACAGGCCTGACCAGGTCTCCTCAGAACTGTCAAGGTCATGCAAAACAAGGAAAGCGGGTGGAAGAATGGTCCTCGGAGCTTACCAAGACCAAATCCTCCCCTTTAGCAGAGGAAAAACTGAAGACCAAAGCAGGAGGCAGTGTCTTGCCCAGCGCCAGTTTAGGAAGTTCGTGCCACACTGAACTCATGCTTGCAGTATCCAAAACTTTCTCTTCTACCTGGGTCACAAAGAACCAGGTTGGGACCACAGAGACCTTGCTGCCAAAGCCCAGGTCTATCTTCACCAACCTTGAGAATGTCAAGGGCCTCTGTGTGAAAATGGTTTGGTATTTAGCCACATACCATTTTGCCCTGCCCACTACACCATCACCAAGCAGAAAGCCGAGGCCCAGCAGGATGTGGCCCAACACTCAAAACTTACAGCTCGGTGTGTGGAGAGGGCACACCTGGCCTGGCGGGGGGGGCTGGCCATGCGTCTCCTGCCTGGCCCCATCCATCAGCCTCCCCGGGGGATCTCATTTTCCAGCTCTGCGTAGGGTACATTTTCTAAATGTGACCCTGTTTCTGTTATGAGAATCAAAGTGCTCCAACCGCAAGATCATAAATACTCAAAAGTGACTGCTAATGGCAGTGGCAGTTTGCAAAATGCCAAATGGCAGCAAGAAGTGGGCCCCATAAATTACATCCCAACTCCTCCATTCTCACTGAGGTGTTTTGTGGGTTTTTAGTGATGAGATCTACTTTCAAGGGGATTTACAGGGTCTCCCCGTGAATTCAGGCAGAGCTTTTAAAAATACTTCTAACAGATGCTAAGAAGAAAACCAGAGGAGCCTACACTTTATTAAAAATTTGTTTAATATGTAATGGCAAAAAATATGGAAAGTGGCCGGATTGGAGATGAATACATTTAGAGTGCAAGTGCTAATAATTACAAGAACAGGAACAATGACAGCTAAGATGTATCGAATCAGACATTGGGCTAAGCATTTTATGTGAATTATCTCTGAATTCTTACAGAATTCTATGCAGTAGATGCCATGATTATCCTTATTTTGGACATGAAAAAATTCAGGTTCCAAGAGGTTAAGTCATCTGTCCAGATGACAGAGCCGGGGAGAGACTAGAGGTGTGAGCACCAGGAAAATTAAGAGCTTGGATTTGGCTCACCCGCCTCGCCTCCCAGTCAAAGCAGACCCAAGACAAACTCTCCAAACCCCAGCAAAAGATGCTGTGCCCAGGAGAGGACCAGGGACTGTGTCAATGAAAAATGTGAGCCCCTGTCATCAGCACAATGAACAAAAGGACAACTTTTAGGAAACATAAAGGATCCCTATTATTATAAAATTGTGAACATGTACCTGGCTTTGTTACCTACTGAGTCTTTTCAGCCTCAGCTCCTTTATCAGCAAAATGAGGGCAGTACCATTTCTGACTGTCAGGGCAATTAGGTGAGATCCCATACCCGCCTCTCTTTGAAAACCCCAATGCACTGTATAAATTGTTATTAATAAAAATACCTAGATGAAAAAAATCTCAAGTCAGTGCTAACATTCATTCTCTCACGTCTCCTTTACAAAGGCAGAAATTGAGGTGCCGAGAGATTCAATGGCTTGCCCGGGGTCACAATATTGAGTCAATGGCTCAGCCAAGGTAGAAGGGCTGGAGTTATTTGTTCTTTTCGAACTCAGTTCCATTCTTACCCCCCATCTCCCCACACTTCCCCCCGCCTCTCTCTCCTGGGGCCATCAACCCCTAGGTCCTTTCCTACAACTGGAGCTGACAGTCTCTGTCTCCAGGTGGTAGAGAAAGTCACCATCTGTGCTGAACAGGCAGTGTTTATGGCCACTGTGGTGCTGGTGACCCCTGGGTTGGAGTGTCGCTCTCAGGGCAGGAGCTGCCCCGCCTGTGTGTTTCGTTGATCAGCTGCAGGTCAGACACACTTCTGATGGGGTGGGGGGAGAAGGTCTCTGCTGAACTTCTCAGGGACCCTGCATGGCCCAGCACCATTGCCAGCAGGCTAAGGAAGGTATCTCCAAGTTCCTTGTCCTTCCGTGAATTTCCTTCCTTTGAGAACTGTCCCACTTTTCTCATAAAATTCCACGTACTACACCATTTCCTCTATTTTCTGATTTTCAGTGAAATTGTGGAAGGGAAAGTTGCAGAATCCTCCAATTTCAGGGCTCAGAGGCTTTCAGAGGCTAAGGACTGTCTAATGCCACCTTTCCTGCCTGGCCCTCAGACCTTCTCTAAAAAGGTCCTCAGACCCTGGCCCTGCCACCACTGCCAGCCTCCCCTTGAACATCGCTATGGGGGTGGAGGGGGGCTTACTACTTCCTGAGGCAGCTTGTACCATTTTCTGCCTATTGTTAGAATAATTTACTGAGAGATTAAGAGTGTGGATCTTGATTGGGACTGACTATCTGTTTTGCAAAATGAAAAGGCAAGTTCCTTATTTAAAAATTATTAATTTCCGGGGGCCAGAGGAGTGTGTTAAACAAGTGCAAGCCTCCCAAAGCTGGCCCTGTGCACATGCACTGGTCGTGTGTCACACAGCCTGATTCTGATACTGGGTGCAGTGGGTTTGAGTCCCACTTATTCATCAGTTCTAGAAAGTTACTGGACCTTCCTTCCCATGTATATAAATGGAGGCTGTGCTAGTCCACAATCTTGTTTCTGAGGATTAAATGAGTTAACTATGTAACATACTTAGAAGATCAGGGCACAGGGTGAACACCATCATTTTTGTGCCCAAGTTGCATATGAGGGACAGAGAAAAGCAGCCTGGTAATGTCTACGCCAGCCCCAGTGATACGTGCAGACAGCTCTTACAGCCTCACGAGCCTTTTCTCCTGTAGCAAAGCTGCTGGCTCCTGTCACCACTGCCAGCGACTCAGGCCCCAGGAAGGAAAACTCAGACCACCACCATGGTTGGAGCCAGCCTCGTGGGACCTGCTGTTTATGCCCTGGGGTTGTGTGGGAGAAGATCCATAGGAAGAATATGGAATTAAGGTGGCACATGATGCATTTTCTAAATGCCGACAGATGTAGTCCTGATCCAACTTTCCCACCACAGGATCTTAAAAATGCCTGTGGCCACTTCACACCAAAGAAGAGGGGAAGATGGAGTGGAGAGAGACGGAGGTCAGACTGTGGTTACATGATCTCCTCTGCATGTGTGAACAGGACATGTGACTGTGGAATGTACTGCTAGCGCCCTTCCCAGGGCCTTGGAAGGGGAGACTCTCATGCTCCATGGTAAACCTGGCTCTAGTTATTGTTCCAGCTTATGATGTCCGACCCAAAAACAAGAATAACCACCCAAGAAGAGAGTCCTGGGTCACCCTGGAGCATCTCCTGAGTGTGCTGCTGCTCTCCATCATTTTCTACATGGATTCACGGACTCACAGATGGCTAACCAGCTGGCACCCTCTCCCCTCCAGCCTGCCTCCGTAAAGCAGCATCCCTGCAGAATGCATACCTGACCACACCCTCTCCTGCTTAAATCCCTCCCGTGGCTTCCTCCAGATTTTAGGGTAAAATCCAAACTCCGTACCACAGACCCCAACCTCCTTCCAAGGCCCTGTGCCCTCTCTGGTCACAGTTTTCACTGCTCAGCCCTTCAAATCACACCTGTACAGGATGCTCTGTCTAGAACCCTCTTTATCCCATGCTCCAACCTGGCTGATTCTTTAGGTATTTGCTTAAACAGCACTCTCCCAAGGAATCTTCCCCAGCCCTTCCTCCTCCAACAAAACAAAACTCTAGGTTAGTGCTACTATGTGCTCCCGTTGCATCCTCTACTTGTCCCACAAGGTGCTATATCACCTTCTTGGCCCTGCAGTCCTTGCTAAAGTCTGTCTTCCAGCTAGCCGTACATGCCACAGGGGAGGGCCCTGCCTATTCTGTATCCCCAGAACCCGCAGTCGCCAACATGTGATAAGCACTCACCAAGAACGTGCTGCCGAATGACTGGTTCACAAAATACCCAAAGCAGAGGGCAGGGGAACAGAGACCACTGGGGTGGCACCCCGAAGAACCAGTCTCATGCCAGCGTACTGGGCAGCCAAGACAAGCATCACACACTCTCCCAGGAACCAGAGCCTCTGCACAATGCTGCGGCAGGCGCCCTCTTCCCCTCACAGAGCCAGCACAAGGAGACCAGCTCTTATTTTTGCAGAGTTTCTTGTACACAGAAATCTTGCCAGAGAAGCCTGACTTCAAGTCTTTCATTTATTATTCATTTATTTCCTTGTAATGTCATTTCTGCTGCACTCGAAGGACAAGCCCTAGCACAGGCTGCCCACCTGCAAGTTAACACTGATGCAGCCCAGACACGGAGAGCTGGTGGGAGAGCAGCCTTTTACGGCCAGCCAGACAGGCCACGGGGCAAGGAGCGACTGAGTCAAGATCTTCTCTCTCCTGCTGGCAATGCCCTTTATCACTTTGAGCATTTTCATATCCATCACTTCCTTTAAAAATTTTTTTGGGGGCTGGGGAGGGAGCTACATGGTAGAGCAATTGTGCAGCATGTGTATGGCCCTGGGTTCAATCCCCAATACCCACTCTCCCATTTATTTTCATAACAATCCTCTGAAACAGAAAGCTTGGGGATCACCATCCCCATTTTACAGACAAGGATACTGAGGCTCAGGAAAGCTGAGTAATTTCTCCAAGGTTGGAGTGCTCATAGGTGGCACAGCTGATGGGGGCCCGGGGGGACTGATTCGACAGTCCATGATCTGGAACTACAATCTTCTTCCTCGGCATTCTGAAGGAGAGATCTGTACATTATCTTTGTTCCCGAGACAAATGAGCTCAAAAAAAAAAAAAAAAAAAAAAAAAAGGCAGAAGTGCAGGAAAAGAAGTTGAAGCCACTCATTACCTCATAAAAGCAACCACACCCTGTTACACCGCACTGCACTCCCTCCTGGTCTCAAGCCATCCTTTGCGGCCTTAGGGACCCTGCACTGGGTGATGCTTCTTCCTGGATACATTTCTCCTGGCTTCTTCCCAGGCTTTAGGTCACAACCTGACCATCATGTCACTGGGGCTCAGAGAATGATACTCCCAAAGTACAGCACTTGGACCAGCAGAGCACTTGAGTGACAGGAAGCTAGAGAGCCTGAGAATCAAGGTCTCTCTAACCTTTCCTCATTACACCCTGCCCCCAACACAAAGGGGCTTGCTCTG